AGGGTGTAGCTATAGCGTTTAGCTGACTGTGTGGAACCCACCTGTGGGGTACGCTTCGAATAACATTCAAGTTTTCTTTGAATATGAAATGTGAATTATTTTATTTGAGGTTTTGTGTTCCGTGTAGTGAATTAAGTAAATTAAAGTTCCTGTTGTGAAGTACGCCGTACAATACGTTATGTACTAACGTCCAGTTTCAATAACCTATCTATCTGTAGATTTGCTTACTAGCGATAGAATTTTGACACATTTTGTTTGGAGCTCATGTCAAAATTCTATCTCTAACGTAAGTAGCAACAAGTTCGATTCTCGGTTTAGACAAAGTTGACTGTACGGTTGGTGGGGTGGCTGGGCAACCGGTTGCCGCGCAACGTGTCGCGGGTTCGATCCTCAAATCGTTGTTTCAGGTTTGTAATCAAACCTACGACACAGGAGAAAATGTGTGGAGTAAAAAAAATACCTATGTAGGTCGAGTACGATTACTCGTATAATGTTTGCAAATTAGGACTACCGTATCTTTCATCAGATTTAGCATATGTAGGAAGCATTTTTTGTCCAATGACTGAAACTATCAAATATTGAACGTCCAATGGGGTGATAACACTAGCTAATACCCTATTGGACGAAGAATGAGAGGCTCACTAGCGACATCTCGTGAGCTAAAATACGGCAGGGCCTATTAACTTATTTACGAACATGAAACAAACTTTTTAGTTTTATATAATAAAAAAACAACAGGTTCACCCCCTATTACATAAGACGCATAACATAAAAAGTGAAAACTGAGTGTTACATTGTACAGTGGCATAATGTGCACCTCTGCCTATCCCTTCGGGAATAAAAGGCGTGATGATGTTATGTGTATAATAAAAAAGTATAAGAATATAAGACATGAACTTTTAAACCTTAAAAATCCACAATACAACACTCCATTTCCCAACCATCATTAGGATTAGAATCAAATTAGTCTGAAAACCATCTTTATAAGAAAGTACTTGAGTAAGAACAGCTTCATTAACGAAATTGAGAACCATTCTCTCTACCTCAGTGGTTCTCAACCGATTGTCCGCTGCCAACAAAATAATTAGGGCCCGCAAAACGAAAAAAAAAGTATACAAGACATTACATTGTACTAAATCACATCAACAGCCTATAAGTGGCCACTGCTGAGCAAAATCTCTTTTCACACGAAGAAAGTTTGATTATTAATCACCACGGTTGCCAAATGCGGGTTGGCGACATCAAACTTAGAATTAGAAATTATAAGCCCAGCAGCTGTAGCCAAATGCCATTTAGCGCTTGTCTACATGTATAATAGAAAACCAAATTATATGGAATTGACGTAAATTTTGACACTTGCCAGTGTCATCCTCATACATTTTGATTTCTACTCTCTCTGTAGACAAGCGCTAACGTGGCGTTTGGCTAAAGGCTCAGGTTTCCTTAAAATTTGTTCTGATTTCTTTCACTGTAAGTCGTTGTCTGTAGTATCTAAATAGTTTTAGTCAGAACATAATATTATATTTGAACATATTGGTACTTGCCGTTTGTAGGTTTCGAAACCGCACTCTTGCGCATGAAAAGAGGCGTCTTAAACCTCCGGGATACCACGATAATTAACACCACAGTTAAAACTTAAACTGACGTCAAAAAGATAACAATTTGATAGGAGCAACTGATTTCAATTATTCAAGTCACTATTCTTATGAGAATAAAACCCATAGCTCTGAAGAAAATCTTAGTTATACGACATGAAAAATGTTATACATATAATAGTACCTGACCTTACTAGAATTATAGAAAGGTATGATCACTTTTAGACTTTGATTTGACCTGGGAACATACTCTTGAAACCAATCTCAATTCAATAAAAACTCAATCATTATTCAATGTCAAAACTATACAGCCCCAATCGTTGCTATTAAAATACCATTCAGAGTACGGAATACAAAGCCAAACTCAATATAATTTAGTTTGCAACTTAAGAGTACCTTCAAAATATAAATATCGATCGATCAGAATTGCATTTATAAGTAAGCCCCCTGACCAAGAAAATGTTGAGAACCCCTGCTCTGCCTGATCAAACAACTGGTACTCAGGTGGTACTTTGAGTATAAATTAGACAAGGTATTGTGTGGAGGGGAAGGGAAGTGTTATTTTAACTGTCACTGCTATTAGTGAATTGCTGTTGGGATGATTTAGGGGTGGCTAAAGTAAGTAGAGATTTCGTTTTTGATTATTTAGGAATGTTTTTAAATAATTTAGTACAAATAACCACGGTTGAATAGACTTGGAGAAACGATTGCGTTGTGTTTCACCATGTGGTTGAAGTTATGGGATGCCTTACATAGGAAAACATAGGAAAGTGCTATCATTAAATGTTAAATCTGAATAACGTTTGAAAGCATCGTATCGCCGCGAACGCGCACGCTGCTTTTGAGGAAGAACCCCTCTGTGAAACTAGTAGAGCTTTTCTCAGTATATTCACGAGAGTAACCCGCGATTTTTAATTAATTTAGTTAACGTTTGAAAGTTTATTTCAAAGTGGACATAAAAAAAATTAAGTAAAATTATTTAAATGAATAACTTAATTTTATTCTAAATAGCATTCATAACGCTCTACAAAACATTGATACTCAATAATCAAAATGTTTGTACAGACTGAAAAATAATTAGGCTTTCCAATGCTTGTTTTATAAAAAAGAAAATCCTTCAAACGAAAAACGTCTATAAAATATAGGCACCAAGAGTGAATTTCAGAACTTTTTCACAATTCCCCGTAGGTAACGGAATCCAATTCAGTATTTTCAGCACCTGAAACTTTTTTCCGGAAAAAGGTAATATAAGGTGTTTCTTGGTAGTGTTTTGAAATTGAATTGTTGGGTTATTCCCTTCAATGAGGAGGAAAACTTTTCTAAAGTGGGTGTTTCCCTGAAAAAGGGGTAACGGGATCAAATAAATGTATCTTGGGTTGTATTAATTTCCTTTTCTTTTATCTTGTAACTAGCTTTTACCCGCGGCTTCGCTCGCGTCACAAAAGGATAAAAAGTAGCCTATGTGACATATACCAATACACACAGCGCCATCTATACCAATAATTTCGTTTTCCTTTGAGAATATCAAATTTTTCCGGGATACTTCACAACTTCAACTTCACGTCTGCAAAAATTCAAAGCAATCGGTTTAGTAGTTACGGCGCGAAAGTGGAACAAACAAACAAACAAACTCACTTTCCGATTTATAATATTATATTAGTAAGGATTTTCTAAATTGGCTTGAATTAGAATAGAGGCCTTCAAGGCTGAGGCTTTAGTTTTGTTATTTGATATCTGATTAACAAACTGAAATATAATTAGGTATATGTGTTTCGTTACAAATTGAGGTTCTAATAGCTTTAAATATATTTTTAGCAACAGATTACCCACTGAAGTGGGTTTATTAGTGAAATTGGTCTTAACCACATTTTTATTTATATTTTCATTGGTTAAGATTGTACAAGTGTGGCTACTAAGCGAAAGGTTTAGAGTTTGATTTCCGGGTCGGAAAATGAATTGAATTGATGACCGTTTCCTCTACTACTCCTTCCTATCTTTGAGTGATGGAAATGCCTGGGTATTAACTGGATATCGAACTGGATAGTTAAACCTCAGAAGAATTTTTAAATACTAAGAATTGTATGATAATAAGTCACATCTATTACCGGAAAAATGGGGTGAATAGGGATTGAGAGGCGAATAGAGACAGAAGAAGGGTGAATCAATACTATGAAGATTTCCCAATATCTATTTACCCCTCTTTTGTCTCTATTCACCTCTCGATCCCTATTCACCCCATTTTACGGTATTTACTCTTAGGTTCCTAAACACGATATAAATGCCTCCATTACTAAACATTATTTTTTTTTAAAAACTGCTCTCACACGCCCCAAAAACACCGAAATAAATCTCCCAAAAAAACACAAACACATTGCGAAAATCATAATAAATTAATACCAAACATAAGTATGTGCCATAAACAAATTATGTTTCATTTCCACCCAGCACTAGGGTTGTCACTGCACGAATTTGTCTTCATTACCGAATTTAAAGTAACTCACGTTCGCGATCTCATTGCAATACGGTACGTCTTGAGCATACTGTGAGCCCAGGGTTGTCAAATTTGTGAATACAAGATTATTATTTATGGGTGCTTGGTTTGTTTTTTGGATGATAGATGTGACGGGCGAATTTGTTCTCAAAGAGTTATTTGTGTTAAGTTGTTATTTGTGTGCGTTTTGAGTTTGGGGGCGTTGAGGTTTAATATTTGAGTGGTGTTGGTTTTAAAATTAAAAAAAAATATCTCAAAAATAGTTAACTATCGTTGGCCGAGTGGTTGCAAGTGCAAGTGTTATGAGGTCTCGCGTTCGATTTCCGTATTGGGAAAAGTATTACTGTTTTTTTATCTCAGTAGTAGCACGGAGTCTGAAATTGTGCCCGGTATATGACATTAGGCTCACCCGCTATTAGATGGGACTCTAACTTAAATAGTGAAAACTGTGTGTTATATTGTATAATGGCCTACCTCTTCGGGGATAAAAGGCGTGATGTTATCTAACCTTAACCTTAACTAATATTTCGAAAATTAATCAGTTCATTACTTTTTTATTTTACTGTTGTTCCCATCTTTAATGAAGTCCTCACATTTTTACGAATTATACTTTTTTTTTTAAGGGGGGAAAATTATCGAATTATTGCTCCCGCCTGGATGAGGCGGGAGGGAGTGTCAGACTCTTACTGACTAAAAACCACCCCGTTCCTTCTCCTGCACGTCGAGCCGGAGCCCCGGTTACCCGTTAGATTCTCCGCGACTTACGAATTATACTTAGCCTTGAACCTACAGCTGATTGATCAAACAAAGAGTTATTCTGGGTATTTAACTCCTCCTTATAATGTCTTTATCACAGTGCCAACAGCGCAATCAAAATTTCGGATTTGTCTTCGGAAATCTTAGTAAAGCCACCCCTAGTTCAATGTCTCCCCCATTCTCCCGTTACCCTGATTATTACCGGAATCTTGACATTCACCGAGTTTCCTGATCTTGAAGTATATCCGTTATCCGTAGAAACATTTGATCTTGAAGTATATCCGTTATCCGTAGAAACAAACCGTTGTTTACAACACTTGTAAACAATGCACAGATCTCATGAAGGTAAATTCCATTACATTATTTAATAAACTGCCTCATTGACCGAGTGATTGCAAGTGCGACTGCCGGGCAAGGGGTCTCGGGTTCGAGACGTTGTTGATTTGACGTTGTTTTGACGTTCAAAAGTGCCTTACTATTCTAATTGAAATAAATGATTTTGACTTTGACTTGCTACTTTTTATCCAACCGGGACGCGGGCGAAGCCGCTGGCAGAAGCTAGTATGCAGCATAAAAGAATTTGCCATAGTCTATATCCTGAGCTACACGGATGGTTTGGAGAGAGCTTTGCTGTACGATCTAAAAGACACTTGTATTCCCTTAGTCCAGTCTTACGACAGCAGTAGAAAGAGAAAGAAGTAGTGACAAATATTCTCTACTCTGTCATTACCACATTGTCAAAATTCAACCATTTTCAATCTTCAAAGCTAGGTGTAAAATAATAGACTCACATGAATATTCTGGTCATCAGCATTCAGTTTCTGCGTGCCGTTGTACCACTCGATCTTGGCTGCTGGCCGCGCCCCTGATGCTGTGCAGGTCAAGGTCAGAAGTGTGCCCTGTGTCGCGTGCTCTCCTACTCCCGTGATCAGCGTCTTGTTTGGAGGTACTGGAAGAGAAAAGTTTATACATCATCATATTATTATCATTAGCTATAAGACGTCCACTACTGATTTCTTTCGTATAATATTATTTTTTGCCCCGCTCTGCTCGGCGCCTAATGATCGTAGCGTGATGTGTTATACCTTCCCCAATAAATGCACTACTCAACACAAAAATAATTATTCAAAGTGGACCTGGAGTTTCGGAGATTAGTGCGTTCAAACAAACAAATAAATTTTTCAGCTTTATATAATAAGTATATAAGATTTGTTTATAAGTATTGATTCCTTTGTCAAGTGCTTGTAAGCAAGTCTGTCGAGCAAGAGGTTGCCGGTTCGATTTTTGTGTTGACAAAAGATATTATAGATGAAAGCAAAAAGAAATTTGTAAACGCATCCACGACATAAGAGACAATTTTATTTTAGGAGAGCGTTTAAAAAATATAAATAATTTCTTGATTCCAATAATCACAACCACTATTAGACGAATGAGCTGATGAAGTGTCATAAAATAACCCGAAGATCATATATTTTGTCTCACTTCCATCCAATCCTTGCTGTAGTAAAAAATATGCCTGATCAGTGACATTGGTTATGTCCTTAGGACGTGGTCACAAAGGACCAAGAAATAGAAACATTTAGACGTAGATTTAAAACTAAAAGATAAGAACCTTTAGCATTATTTTGTCTTTATAGAATAGGATGCAAACGAGCAGACAGATTACTTGATGGTAAGCGATCAGCGCCGCCCATGGACACCCGCATGACCAGAGGAGTCACAGGTGCGTTGCCGGCCTTTTAAAAAGTGATACGTTCTATTCTCTATTATAATTCTAACATCATAAATTAAACGAGATTACACTTCACTGTACTGTGAATTTGCAACTCAATTACCCTCTGGAACTCATCATTATCATCACCTGCATATGGTTATATCCAAAGCACAAACTTGGTTACTGAAGGCCTTTTAACATTCGAAGCTATTATCACCAATTCACCATACTTGATTATAATTCAATTATTGGATTCAACGACCAAATATTTTTTTTATAAACAACGTTTGAGAAAACCGATTCAAACCTCTTTTTGAAGTCGGTTAAAAATCCTTCTCAGTGTATTCTAATAGTATATTAGAAAACTTTTCCACCAAAAAGTCGTGTATAGAAAGGAGTTGTTTCCAAAATCGCTCACACTGTATACACAGCTTTAAACGCATAGAAACATATAATAGTTCGTCGTCTCGTCCTCAGATGGGATTGGTCCTTCGGGACAAAAAGGACCAAGTTTGTAGTATCCCAAGTTTTTTATGAAGTTTTATTAGATTTCATTTTCTTCCCTCCTAGCGAATGTTCTAGGATATCATCGACGTTTTTTAGATAATTTATTAGAATAATAGTGTAGGGAAGATTTTCCGCATTTGTTGTCGATTGCACTTTTTATTATTGCCTTGTAATTGAGTACCACTGTTTTTACAATGAATTTAAGTGTGTTTTCACTAGATTAAATATAGTCTTAAATTGATTACATGTTTAGTTCAGTGGCTATAGGTTGCTTATGGTACAGACGTGCTCCATTGAAGGCCGTATCATCGCTTACTACCATGCACCAGATAGTGGCTTTTATTGGCCACATCAGACGCAAAAAATGGCTGAATGTCCGGCTGTTGTGCTTGTAAAACGTAACACGGGTTCGATTTAATAATACCTGTAAAAAGGTATATTATTGAGAGTTTTGGAAATTAAAACTCCAATATATTTACTTTTCTTTATCAAAGAATTAAACAACAATAATTGAGAACAGAATCCAGTCAAGAAACTGGAGACAAAGTAGTACCTTCCACCTTTTATTACTTTGCCAAAAACTCACGCATCCACGCGCAATAGTTACAAAAGTAATAGGCTAGTTCCTATTATCGTCCCTCTGATTGACTATGAACACCAATCTATTACGTGCCATAATATACTGTAATTGAAAGGGAAGAAAAACCTTTCAGTAACTGAAACGTTAATTAATACCTGATTACATTCTGTGAGACGAATACTGACGATCATTCGAGAATAATCAATTTCATTTTACAATGTGTTGTAGTTTTTGGTTGCTTAGGTGTTTTTTTATGGGATCAGCCGGTAAATGAGCAGACGGATCACCTGATGCTAAGCGATGCCGTCGTTTGTGTTTCATCGTGTTAGTGAGAATGCCGGAGGTCCAATCATCTCCCCACTCCTTTTCCAATCTCCCTTATCCCTGAATCCCCAACAATCGTTAAGTTCCTAATCTTCAAAAGGTTGGTAATGCATTTGTAACGCCACTGGTATTCCGGGTGTTCATGGCCCTTTGTACGACTACAAAATTAAATATCTAGAAAAAATCTCAACAAATGTGATCAAAACCGGAATAAAGTATATGTTCATGTTTACCATTAAAACACCATCATAATTGGAACACCAGATTCTTTACCATACCTCTAATAACGTACTAGATCTCTATCATGTCTATTCACCTCTATTAATTAAAGATAATTATTCCCGCCCCAGTGGATATCATGTTAAGTTAATGGAGTTAATATCCAGTAGGAATCTATTAGGTGGAGGAGAAATTGGTATATTTTGAGCGGCCTAATTCATTTATCCTTACTGTGTATGTCGCAGGTTGTGTGGGAATTGTGACTTTTGGTGATATTATATTACTCAAGAAATATTATGGTATGTTATTCTGATCCCAAAGAAGACCGGCAAACACCCATAGGAAACCAGGCCTTAACGAACAAAAATGAAATACTCTGGGTTTTCAAAGACTTACATTAGTATTAAACTCTGTGTAATTCGTTTTTTGATAGACTACGGAACAGAGAAAAATTCATCGATGGTATAGTTGATTTTTTTTTGTTATTGTTACTTTCATTAATAAAATGAATCTGACATTTTCTTAATTGCATGCCGACAGGCGAAACATAGCGCACTATTATTATTTATGATTCATCCTGTATTATGTACTTATTACCTATGTTTGCAATTAATAACTTTGACTTTGACTTTAACTTTGATTTGCCGATCTCCTTTAACTCTTTGAATGATCATGTTATACTTTTGTTAAAGCAACTCTTCTCTAAAGAGGTTGTCATTGCATTGCAAAACTAGAAATTTTAGACGCAAATAGCCGATGTTCTAGCAAATTCTACGCAGAAATTGATACCTCTGTTATAGCTACTTATAAACCTGAATATCAAACCCGATAGGGACCTGATACTTGGCATAGTTTTTTGCTTATTTCAACCCTTACATTGGATATCCGTAAGTCAAACCCTTATGCAGAGCAATGGCTTTAGCTAAGTTGCTACTATAATACTAAATACTTTTTATACAAATATTCACATGAAACAGTAGACGTAAATTTGCAGGCACTTTTCGCATCGTACGTGCTACCTGACGAGAAATATCTCTTCGAGAATTACATGGCGTGATGTTTTGATAATGTACTACGAATACGTACGCGCTATTCGAAGTTTGCAATGAATGGTTCACCAGTAACTTTTTGTTTCAAACATCTTATTTCTTTATAAAACGATTATATTACCAAGACACCATTTTACTTCGGGACGAAAACGAAATAGATTTTACGGTGTAGTTATATCACTAATTACCGGACCAAATAGAGCTGAACCCATTAAACCCAACTTACGTTTTAAACTAGACCATATAACTAGAGTAACAGGTAGTCTTTCCATCGCTTGCACTATTACCCTATATTCTGAGGAAGGAGGGTAATTTACGTCGCATAATTAGCGAGGAATACTGCTAATAAGTATTCTGGACTAGGGATAACTTTGTAAAGAATGTTTGAAAGCGGTAGTAGAAAATGTTTCACTATTTTTTCACCTTTAAAGAACTTGGAGCTGTTTGGTCCTTTTGGTATGATTCTGTGTAAAGTTTCCGGTCTTTTGGTGCTTCGTAAAGATAGTACTATAAAATATTACATACTCAAAATATTTAATTTGAGTTATTTTTGTTAATTGTAAATTTGGTTTCCCGGTATATGGCTCACCCCCCTATTACATAAAACGGCTGATGCCATAAAAAAAATACAGTTACCTAGGTATTTCACCACTATACTAACATTCATTAGTACACCACAACTCAAATATTCGTACATAGATATGCGTGTAGTGTCCAACACTGGCCCACCCCTGAGATCCCATCGACCCTCGATATTGCAAGGTGGTAAAATTCTCGACCCCGTTACTTCTAGTGATGTGGATGTGTCGATATCGATATACTATAAAAGTTTGGTGAATGTGAAATATATCAGTCAGTGTTATGATGCATGACGACAACAGTCGAATCTAGTTGAGTATTTAAGTCGTAAATGAATAGTTTTGGGATCAGGATGCAAAGTTACGTGGTTTAAAATATTATTAATTTAATCTTTATTCTAGATAGTAATTGGATTGTTCTAAAGATATGATTCGACCATCATTATTTCTATGGTCTCGGGTTCGATTCCCGGGTTGGAAACTGGTGTCTTTAGTAGTAGCACGGAGTCTCGAAATGCCTTTTACATGGGACTTATAACATACATAAATAGTGAAAAGTGCGTGTTACATTGTACAGTGGTACCTATTAAGTGCCGTATGTGCAGTTGCACCTCTACCTACTCCTTCGGGGACGAAAGGCGTGATGTTATGATGATGTTCTGCAACACTTATAATCTTCTAACTAAACATTCCCAAATTATCAACAGCCAATAAATTCAAAGCTACAATCCGAACTTACATCCGCACACCACCTTCGCAATTCAACAAACTAATAAATTTCCAGGGCTCCATAATCTGACCGCTTAGGAGTGTCCACGAGATATGGGCATGACAGGAAAGATCCTAAGTGTCAGGTTGTGGGAGACCGTCCTAGAAACGGTTTACTTAACCTAATTAGAGAAGAAACCTCTGTCTTGGGATTTAATGGTAAAGATTTGTAATATTTTTTTTATTAGCTCGTTGTAGGAAAGTGAATAT